ATCTGAACGATGATAGAATAAATATTATATTATTTTTGTCCATATACGAGAACCGGTATATCAGGATTATTCAGACTATTTTTATCTATATATAAATAACTGGTCCACCATTGAACCACATATACAACTGAAGCTTGAATCATCGGATATAGAATTTCCTGAAATTCCGTTTGAAACAGGAAATATCGCATTCGACCTATATATTGTTTAGATAATTAAAATGCAACCCAGAGGGACAGCCTACTGCTGTCACTTGGATTAAAGGCTTTGTTTAAAGGTTTGTGGGATATTAAAATTGATATCCAAACAGCTGTGATTAATTAGGCGTGGCGGGCAAATTTTCGCTGTATTCACGTTTATAATTTTCTGAGTCATGGTAGGGAATCTGTAGGTCACTAAGCCATTTTTACATCATCCCAACAAATCTTTACAATTAAAACCTTTTCCGTTAGAAATGGTTTAATGTAAAAAAGACTACATCTACAGCATATGTGAAATTAAACAACTTTCCTCGAGCAACATTACGGTTCGAAATATGAAAATAATTATTGAACTTTTCACATAAGCGCTGCGGTTAAATAAACATATTGAATGTTTTAATTATTTCCGTATGTCGATTCGTATTTCTCGGAAGGCGTGGCCCATTTCTATGATTACTGTTGCTAGTCTCTTACTATTTCGTAATACATAATAATAATTATTTACGATATATTGAAGGATTCGAGTCAGATGTACACATCAAAGGTATGGATTTATACGCTTCAAGTGACAATTGTCTCGTCATAAATAATAAATTTGTACTGTCATATTCGTCATAAACTTCTTTCGTCACGGCGCCGTCGTGTCATCGTATTTGTATAGTTTTTCGATCTAATTCCTATAAATATAGCAGAACTGAACTTTACGTTTTGATGATCATAATAAAGAGAATTTCTTCAATCCAGATTTAGAATGTGCTTTCTTATTTTATCCACTTCTGTTTATAATACTTTTAATTAAAAACTACATTCTTTTAATGTTTATTCAACTTTTAGTGATTTGAACCATAAAAGATAAAACTGACCTCTTATAGTAAACTTTATTAATTTATAAGATGTTGAATCACAGAGGAGATCAACATTGGGACTAAAATGTCCCAATGTTGATCTAAAATCTCTCAGTAAAAGTATGTAACAGCGGTTTTATATGGCATTGATCTCCTCTATCACTACATCAACATCTTCTATTATAAAAGAATGAAGTTATACCATAAGAGTTTGTTCACTGGTAAGAATTTGATCACCATTAGATAAGATCGAAACGTTACTCAAGTTTTGTCACTGAATATTTAGATCTCACATATATTGATTATAGTGCAATTAAACAAAATAATATAAATTTATTAAGTAGAGAAATAATCTTCCGCAATGACACCTTATTCGATTAAGTATATAAATGCATCTGTCTGCTTATTAACTCTACACAACTAAAAGGGTGAACGGATATTAATAAAATTTGATTGGATCACGAGGTTGAACATACGAGAGCCTGCTGCTCCTTGGAATTCTCTGATAATTGGAAATTACCCTGTACTTTGCAATATGCTACTCTTGATACGATGGTATATAATACATCCACTGCAAGAAATCCGTCTTTTGGGATATGTCCGCCATTGTAAACATTTATTTAATAAGTTCATTGTATCCTTTTATACAAAATCAATCGTACAATACAATATTACAAACTAACATCCTATTGTGTATCTGTGGATTAATATAAGAAACTACGAATGTATCTGTATTGCATGTAAATGGTAAAATTTAGGGCCTCGTTGTTTAACGGTTTAGCACATTGCCTTACTTATAATGGTAGCCGGATCGATTCCCCGCACGGTACAAACATTTTTATTCGTGAGGATCATTTTTTGTAATAGTTTGGACATTTTCTATGTATATTATACATGCATTTACAAAATAAATATCTATTTATTTATATCACTTGTCTAGTACTCATCACACAAGCTCTGCTTATCTTGGGTAGTCCCAAGATAAGCAGGTGGTGCTGTGTGAGCTGTACCTGTGGTTGTACTGAGATATTATCAAATAAATCATGTTAATATAACGAAGTAACATCAATTTACTGTTTTATTTATTGTGCATTCTATATGTTATATTAAAAAATAACAATTGAAGTTGTGTGTTACATCTAGTGTTATACAAACCTATGTAAAGGTTTAAATCATTAATCAATTCATTAGTCAAGCGTGGTTAATACATAGCCATTACTGTAGCAATGATTTAATAACGAAATATGTAGCTAATAACGCAATTTGTAAATCTACATGTGACGTTAGTTAGCGACTGACAAATTTGTTTAATTCAAACGCCATACATTGTGTAATGCTTTCAAATGAAGACGGATCTCTCGACATTTCGTTTATTATCAAGCCCTTTGAATACTAAAAGGGAGAACTGTCAGAGACACGCATTTAAGCCGAGTAAAGTAACCAAAGTACATGTATGTATATATAACAGCGTGCTTGTAAATAAACAAAGTAAGGTTGAGAGAGCATACGGACTTGAGTAACACTTTGTAGAAAGTCTGCATGCCTTTGTACGTATTAATTACGCTGCTTGAAAGCTATGTGCTAGCATGCTATTACGGTTGGACGAGTCAGCATAAATATAGTAAAATTATTAGGTGACTCCAAATTTTAGCATCACGTATAATAGTAACTTCCAAATAATGTTATAAGCATTCCAACGTAGCCGTTTATCATTCACTAGTGATTAGCAATTAATTGTAATTTTTATTGTGATTGCTTTTTAAAAGATCCTCCTATGTCACGTGACATAATCTATCATGCCAAATTACATTGATTAGTTCAGTTCTTCAGCAGTAAAAAGGTAACATACCGAGGGACTGACACTTTCCTATTTTTAAGGATATGGATTTACGAACCTTGTTCATCATTACTTTGCCTTCATTCCATTACTTGAGATCGCCACAGTATGTCATTATCTTCTTCCGCTCTCTGTCGGCCATTATATGAGAGCTTATTCTTCTATTAGGCATATTACCTTTATAAATCATCTATTTTTTTTTTGGTCTTCCTCTTTCATTACATTCTTTATATTAAAAGTAAATATCGCGTACCAAAGCCTAAATACATAGAGTCTCTACTATCAATTACGGTAGCAACTACTACTGACATAGTCTACTTTCATTGAATTAATATTTATACTTTTTCTAGCGTAACAGCACATAACATTATTGATGATTACAGCAATACTGCTGTTACTCAGTATATAAATACTAATGAATTTCTGAAACAATTTAATCTAAATATTGTTATTAGCCAAATGAAAATATAAAAATACCATTGAGCAGAGAGTAAATAGAGCAGATACTCCACAGAGTAAATAAATATAAATACGAATAACACAGTAATAATCATATCTATTACATTAAAAAAGTAGTTTAAAAGTCTACAGACTAAGAGCACTTTTCTTTAATTTATTTTTCACTTAAACAACGTGCTATTGTATTTTAAAAAAGTAAACTTATTTTTTGTTTAAATTTTTTTTAATCTTTACATTAATCTTCTGTGGTCTTACACCTCAAGTACATAAGACGTCAATTGCTCCTTCGGGACCGATCATTATGAAATTATGGGCAATATACTTTAGAGCCATTTTACAAAATTATCTAGCCCTTTATACGAGTTCAACATATTTTATTTAGAGTGCTATTTTATTATTTTTTATCTGACTTCAAAAATAAAGTATTTCTCATAAACGATCGAGTTTATTATGTATGGTACTTATCTACGAAGATTCTATAAAAATAAAAAAAATAACGACTATTGTTTAATTTTATAGTTTACTCTTTAAACTCGGTGTACAAAAATAATGTGGAAAAATAAATTCGCTATAATGATAAATTTTTTCATCATTTTTGTCCCAATAACGTAAGAAGTGAGTAAGAACAAATAGAATGATTTAACCTACCTAATTAAGTTAAATTACTATGGTTCGTATTATATACTTAAGCATACAAACATTTGGCTACCTAACTAGAGTGGATTTTAGTAATTTCCCATTCATCAGTTCAGGCTTTACGGCTGAAATAGGTGAAATGAGGCACCAACGCAGACATATTTTACAAAGCCTAATATTGGTATTTGTGAGGCGAGTGAAGCCTAATATATATCGTATTACCAGACACTGTCTAATCACTCCTCTCTATTCTATGGTTGCCTGGGAGAAATAAGCTATTTACCGAAAAGGCTGCTTATTGTTATTTCTATATTATAATTGTGTTGTGTTTTTATATTTCATGTACATATTACTTTATGTAATTCTTATTCCTTTCTGTGAAAGGAGCATTAAAAAGTATTTTTTTTTATCAGAAATTATTATATGTTATATATAAAAATAATATATAATAATTTCTAATAAATTGAAGTGTAGTTGCGCGGTGTAGTTTTTTTTTTCGGACTACTCTAATACGTTGGCCGCAACTGGCCTTAGAGCTTCACAGGTCGATGTGATATCGATGTCGATACAGGACGAGTGCAGATGGCACGGCAAAGATGTCATGTCTCTTATGCTGTACATTTCATTTCATATATATTATATAATATTTATTAGTTACCTTATAGATTATTTTTTGACGTAACTGCCCCACAACGCTTTCTGTATACCTAGAGGTTAGCTGGTGGAGAATGGCATACGGCATTAAGCTCGCCTTTGTACAAGTTATATTGTGCATTGAATAATTGAAATGAATTGAATAAAGTGCTTAATTAGCATTCTACAAAAGACAACTTTATTAGCAAGCTGCTTGGCGGCTAAAGTAGGTGAGACTGAAAGTACCTATGAAGTAGGTATAGAATAAAACATATTATATGATATATTCTAAATTTGAATTGTATAGGCTTAATAAGACTATGTATTTGATATTTTCAATTTGTATAATAACTTTAGAGTACAGATAAAATAAATATTCTTTTGTTTCAGTGACTGGGTGTTTGGAGTTCGGTATTGTCAACTAAGCAACTTCATTGCAAACGTGACAGTCGCCGCCAGTGTCTTCACATTGACGGGGATTTCATTTGACAGGTAATTAATTATACATTTTAAACTCACCGATCTCATGGTTGAACAGATTCCACCCTATAATGTGGGAGGGTATTGAGGGTCCGCCCATTAATTATTTTGGTGTACCAATATAAATAGGTTTGCAAACAAATTATTCGCGATTGAACACAAGCTGTTCGAGAAAACGATAGGAGAAAAATAAAATCTAGTAATTCATGCGTCTGCTAGTCCCAAAATGTCCAAGGTTTGTACTTTGGATATAGGTAGGTTTTATATTTTTATTTTTATCTAATTGGGATGGCAAATAAGGCCTCCTGATAGTAGGCAATTACCATATCCACATATCATAGAATAGTACTACGGACATCACCTTATCATGTGATACCTGTGATACCACTTATGCGTTACCATTCAAAAAAAGATGTCCTATAATTTTATTGCCTAATCTGCACCATGCCACCAAAATACATTTCTCAAACCGGCTGAAATAATTGAGACTGAGGTATCCACGCAGACGAGGTTCCACAGCCTCTGGCATTTGAAACTAATAAAAAGTTAATATTTCTCCTATACAGAATTCTCTGTTCATCCTATGTACATATTGTGATCCGTTTACCCGATTAGTTGTGAAATGGTTACAAACTGACAGATAGTCACATTTTTGTATTTATGATATTAATTTGGGTTTATTTATTACAAAAATATATACGAGTATTTTTAATATAATATATGTCTTGTATAATTACGTAGTAATAATGTATCTACTGCTTGTGTAAGAGATATTTAAGGGCCAAAACGTAAATATATGAGTGCCAGAGAAGGAAAAGTGTTTGATAAGTAGAACCCATTGATAAGCCGCCTGAGTACCGTGGTATTAGTGGGCTAACATCATCCTCTTGTGAGGATAATTTAAGCTTGTACTCTTATAAGATATTGCATTAATTCGGTTTATAATAATTTTTCGTTTCGTGTTGTTACATTTGTAAGAAAACATTTGTGATCGAATATTAAGGCACATATTTTCCTAAGCGTTATTGTGATTTAATAAATAGATTGAAACCATATATCTAAGAAGTTATTCAACATGTGGCATCTATCTGTAAGTATAAAAATGTACAAAATTCTATCAGGCACGTTGTCACCAGGGCCTGATTTGTAATGAAACCCTTCATTTCATTTAATTGTTCCTGTGATTTTAGTTCTAATCATTAGACTTTTAATTTCAAAAGTAGTCTATAGAAATATATAAAGTGTAAAGGAGCTATGATAGCTAAATAAGATTGATTACGGCATTTAATAAAAAATAAAAGGTTGTAAGTCCTGTTTCATTAGTTTTAATTTTAAATGTAACATTTAATTATGGTTAGATAACACATATTATATATTATATATATTCGATTCTTATTTCGTAGAATTTGCAAAATGTGTTCGTTGAGTTAGTTGAAGTTATTTACTCTATTTTATATAAAAATAACTTCTACAATTTAATTATAGAAATTACAAGGTTCTTTGGTTTCCTTCAAACTAACGAGAAAAAATAGAATATAAGTTAATATAATAATAGTGACCGCTTCAGGTCACTATTTATACGTATGATTATGAAAAATCACGAAATTATACCTCGATTTCTGTATTTTTATTGAGTTGCCGATATCGGGAATTTATGAACACAAAACATAATATTTTTTTATTACAAATTCTAGTATTTCTTACACAACTTTTATAACTCACCTTTTCAATATCTATTTATAATTTTTACATACCGAATTATCGTGAATAGATAAATAACATAACTAATAATCCAGTATAAAAAAAAGGTTTATGACTGCTTGTTCTATATTTTTGTTATGATAATTGGCAGATATCTGTGCGTGATATTTTGCTTGAAGATAGTAATAAAATATTTGAAGTGTAATAACACAAAATCCACATAATATACAGGATGTCCCTCCGTTTTATAGTCCCTTACTATCATCAAATAACTCCAGAAGTAAGTCTTGCCGTAATAAAAAACAAATTTACTGATTCGGGTGGATATATTCGTACTAGACTGACTTATTATTCTCATATCAGAATAATGACGTTCAATATCGAAAACAGGAGGGACTATATATTATATTTTTGTGAGGCAACATATGATAAAATAGTCATATAAATCATTGTATATGATGTATGTATATATTAAAGAGTGTAATTCTAGATAAGATAGACATCGTTATTGTTAAAATAGTTTTTGTAAGAGATAGATTGCAATAGTTCAAAACTTAGTATTCACACACTTAAACTTAAAAATGTAAAGTAATAATAAAATTATTTTAAAGAGCAACACGCAAGTTTCTTACTCGCTCTTCTTATTATGAGACAGCTTTCCGAACGAGCGGTAGATTAAAAAAATGTGATGACTATTCAAAAGTGTTTCAATGTAAGTTTATTTGAATAAATGATTTTCTATTCTATTCTGTTTACATAATGATGTGCTGTACTTAGTACTGCTAATTTATATAAGCGATTGCTTGAGGTGGACCACCGCCAGTTTATTTGACATTCAGATTACAAAAAAAAAAAAATACGACATTGAAATCTGGTGCAATATTGAAGGTAAACGTTAGGGGTAAAATCGGTATCTAATTTCGCTATACACCAAGCAATTTAGACAGCGATCCTGGAGCTCCACACCACTGCTGCTTTAATATCTTTCTAGTTCATTTTAGAGTCGTTTAGCCCCTTTGACCATTGTAGTCGTTACTTTGGCATACTCATATTAAGCTGAGTAAGTATATTTGAAATTAACTTAAAAAATCAAATTAATTGTTTTGAAAATGGAACGTCGAACATAGAACAATGATATTGGTTTGTTTTATTTTTTAAAATTATACATCTTCTCGAATATTCCACGTTATCAAGTGAGCAAAACAGTTTATATTTTTTTATTACAATTACATACAACGTTCAATATTCCTCCAGAAATCACTTAGTATTCAGATCTTAGTATCAAGATATATCTACTGCTATAACACTAATCTGTATGTACGAGTATGATATAGCTCTTTAGAAGTGCCATGAAGGATGTAGACTTAGGAATAAATCATTAAGCCTTAGCGGTGTTGACATGAATAATTGTAACAGCGAGAGAATTCGTATTCAAATAACTTTTACAAGTTTTAAACACATAATATACTGTCACTATATTTATAGGTATCAAGCTATCGTCAGGCCAATGCGACCGCGGATGTCCAAGACTTGTTCTCTCATCATGATAGCTGGGATATGGATTAGTGGAATGCTTCTAGCTATTCCCTGCCTTCTGTATTCTACCACGAAGGAATATAGGTAAGTGCCTTATCACATATATGTAATATTATGTTATGTCTGTGCTATTACAAAAATTTACATTAAGTGCAATAAAATTAATAGTAGATCACCATGGTTACTACCATAACCATAGATTACTAAAATTACTTAAAAAAGGAGTACCCAAATGGTAGAAATTCAAAATAGTAGTCTACGAGTACTTATGTAAAATCGTTATTGACATAATTTTGATTCAGGTGCTTTCAATAGATGTTGATTAGTCCTTATCAGTTTCAAACGATAATATGTGAATGTAGGTACTATGTCAGTTCATTTACCCCATTATGACCATTTCTACAGAAAAGCTATTCGATTTATGTACAGACTTTTTTACAGTAATAATTGTGACCTACCTATATTACTTAGTTTGCATCTGCAACTCTCGAATACTTCATAGTAAATCCCAGACCGATCAATTTTAGTCTATTACACTCGAAAATTGTTAATAACATCCTTACATAATTAAGCCTCGGAAATAGAATCACGTTGGTTTCTTCCTCTCTCAGGTCTCTTTACTAACAGTTCTCTCTCCCTCCGATTCCTCGTATTCGTAAACATATCGAAATGAAAGAATAAGATAGAATAGTATTAGAACTACAGAGCTTATCTAAATTGGTTTTTGTACTAAGCTTGTGGGGAAACCTGCAAGTAATTGAAAAGAGTTTGCAGCATCACTCCGCAATATAAAGATGTTATGAGATAGACTAGTAGCTATCCTTGTTAGCGTTAGAACACAAATTAGTTTTCTAATAAATATTTGTACTGACTTTATTTGCAATATGGGTCTTGAATATGAAGTGGATATTGTCTACCAGCAGTAATTAAGCATTAATTTTACAGTCAGTAGCTATTAGCAGTTATAAACTACATATTTCACAGTGGAAGCACGTCTAATGCTTTATACGTTTGTACTACTTCTGCAAATTAAAGTGCTTCCAATAATTTACTGTATTGTCATTGTGTACTAGGCACAGTATCATTTTATTGTTCTCTAGACGATCCAGTAAACTTCTTGTCGCGTACGATATATGTTTTTACTACCTGTTACTTCGTCTGCAAAAACTTCCAATTCTTATTTCACCTACTTCCAGTTTATCTTTGGGATAAAAGATGCCCTATGTCTACGTTCTTATCAAATTTCTTTGGTTGCGTTCAGTTATTTGGTCATGAAAAAATAATCGGTATCTATCGGTTACATCTTCGCGACCATTAGAATTTAGAATATTATTATGGTAGTATGGATAAATGTTTGGTTATAATTATGATGACTTACATCAGCATGTCTTACTTTAATTCTTATATCATTACTTTAATAATAATGAATATTATAATTTCACAGTCGCTCAAAATCACAAATTTTACCTTACGAATTTTAAAGCCCATTCTCTTCCCTTTCTTTTTTATTTTAGCGACTTTTCTCGTCATTTCTACGCCATTATAAATAATTTGAACTTCAATAAATATAAAAAGAAAAGCTAAATTAGTCTAGTCATTCTCAAGTTTTTCGCTTAGCAACTCCATTATCGATTAATTTTTATTCATATTATTATATACGACTAAATTACCTTGGAATTCATAAAATACCTTAACATTTTATGATCAAAATTACAGTACAAACTTCTACTGAAATATATTAAAAATAAAACAAGTCAAGATTAAGTGTAAATAGAACTCATAGCCCGTAGACTTTTAGCCGTGTCTTGTATTATTCATGATAATTTTTTAATTAATATTTTACCACTTTGGTAGCGATGAAAGAGTAATATCGACTTTGAAAAGAACATTATGACATCACTAGCTTTAACTTCAAGTAAAAAAACTGTTTACATCTATTAATTCCACATTACATCTTTAACATTAAAATTATTTATTGTGTGGAAGGAATCTTAAATCATGTTAAAATAAATATTAAAAAAAAATGTTAACAATTGCTGCTGTTAAAATACATAAACTATTATAATTGTTATAATTAAACAAATAATACTAATAAATGATAATAACATTAAAAGAGTCAATATTATATCTAAATCTTTTTTTAAACGAGGTAATAATTTTTCCAACCCGTTTGTTTATTAGGCCATTTAAGTAAATATTTTGTAAGCCTACTTTTTCCGGATTTGGGTCGTGGCATTATACATTTGTATTGTTAAGGATGTTTTGTGTGTCTATTTTAATGTTCTGATTCAGAAATTTAAAACTTAATTAGTATAATGATCCATTTTTAGTTTCATTACTGGTATAATATGAAAGGATAATTAATATCTTTTGATATAATAGAATTCTAACACAGTGAAAACTATCTGTCTGTTTCTATAATAAGATTTCTAGTAAAAACTGATGGAAGAATTAGTATTACATTTTTATAGAATAACTTGTTAAATATGTGATAAAGTGTATAATAACTTATCTATACTATAGACTATTTGTTCATTATGAGTCTAAATCATGAGTATAGTCTAAATTTGAGACCAATCTAAAGATAATTTAGTTAGTTTTGTTATAAAGCTTTATACTACTTTTCTTTTTGCCACGCACAACCACATTGTGGAATCATCTGCCAGCAATGGTATTTTTGAACCGATACGATATTCCTTCAAGAAAAGAGCTTATTCCTTTTTAAAAGGCCGACAACGTACTTGCAATTCCCCTGGTGTTGAGGGTGTTCATGGGCGGCGGTAATCACTTACAATCAGGTGAGCCGCGTGCTCGTTTGTCCCCTGCGTTATAAAAAAAAATACTAACATGGAATTACATAATTATATTTATTAGTACGTATTAATTGAGTTTTTTTTAGTATGGTTGTTTGTATGCCTGAAAAAGGAAACTTTTGTAAGGTCGCTCATTGTTGCCCATTTTGTTTTATATAATTTCAATGCCGTGAAGTAAACAATAAATATTCTATTGTATTTCAATGAATTCTGTAATTTGGTAGTTAATTATTACTACCATATATATATATATTACATGATTCAGTGGAATACAATACATTGTTGGCGTAAATTGGAAAACAATAACGGCGCTTTTGTTTTTCACATTGACCCTTATTTTTTTGTCTCAACGAAATAAAATCTAGTGAACCTAAGTAAATATATTATAGGTGAGTTCAAACAGTAATATACATGATCTGTTAAAGAATATTAAGTAAGTAAGAGATTGCTTAGCGATAAGGCCATCTTTTTACCTATGATTGTATATATATTTATATTAATTAATATATATTTTTTTGTTCTGGTGCAATGAAGTGTATAAATAAATAAATAAAAATAAAAAAAAATATTATAGAAGAAAACAGGGACAAGATATTTATGAGAGAGATATTTATGTTTAATGAGAGTGTTTATGTAAATTGTTTTGATTGAAGTTACTCAGAAATCGTAACGAGAACTGGCGTAGGTAGAGCATTGATTACGATATCCATCGTGTTGTTATAGATATAACAGATGTTTATCATTACTGATAATGTCGTTGTTTGTCATTCTTGATAGTTAAAATGAAACGTCGACCTAAAAATTAACATGAAATCTACTGTCAGAATATAACATTTATCATCCATCAAATTCCATTTTCTACAAGCTTATAGAATAGCGTCAGTTCTGTTATGAAAGGAAATTGCATTGTTGGAAAGGAATGAAAGCTTCATTCGAGTCGTAAATGTGATTTACAATTCATGTTACTCGACCATATTATCTCAAATACGGTTGAGCTAAGTGTAACGGAAAATGTAGGTATTTTGTGTAGTGAGGTGTATGTTTAAAGATCCGGATGGACTAAAAGGAACTCTATTGTTGGAGTTGTGATAGTATGTAGGTGATAATTTTAAGCAAATTCTCAATTCAATTCTATTTTACAATTATGTATCTCATATAACAAAGCAATTGTTGTGCATCTAATGGGATGTACACGTAGCCTACAGTTGTGAACGCTGCATAATGATGATGATGATAGTGATTAGAATTAGTAGCTAGTACAATATGTAATTTAATTAAATAAACCAGATTGTTGTGTTAGAAAATTTACTAGCTCTATAAGGAAATGCAGTAATCGTTATATGTAGCATATTGAATTATTGCATCGGGACTGTGCTTAAGTAAGACAGGTGATCTTAATGAAATGTTAGCCAATATTAAAATATAACGGTTAAGTAGAAAAAGTCAAAAATGTAGTAGCACTGAACAAATATAAGATAATTACTGCATAACATTAAAAAAAATAAACTATTAGGTGACTTTACTTATTAATTTAGAGGTTTACAATTTGAATGGCAAATTATTTCAAATACATAGATTAAATATACTAATACATAACTACGAATAAATTCAAAATGAATGAACAAGGTCAAAATTGAGTTGAATCGTCTATGAATTATAAATTACTAGCTGTGCCCGTAGGTCCACCCGCGTGAATATAGCCTATGTGTTATTCAGATGCATGAGTTATATTATTGTAAAGTTTCATTTAAATCCATTCCTTTGTTTTGTATGAAAGAGTAACAAACATCCTTCTATCTATCAATACTAACAAAAATTCGCGTTTATATTATTAGATAGTAAGATCATTGAAAACAAATAAATCAGAATAGGAAATATAGGATCTGATCATAAATCCATCATTTTCCACGCCTTTATATTCTGAAATAGTTATTTAGCAAATAATGACTCATTTGGCGTTACAATGTGAGATAGAGTGATCTATGAAGCGATCGCATTTTCAAAGTGAAGGGATAAAGACGCGATGAGAAAAACATAAGAAATGACCAGCGAATCAATGGTCTAAGTAACTGATTGCGCTAATATTTTTTGTTGAGGTTTCATTGAGTCTTTTATCTGGATTGGATATACCAGTCCACTTTAATGAAGTAACTTAATAATGGATCTATACTTACTGATTTAGATAGTTTCATCTAATGAACTTACATATTAAGATAAATTTTCAACCCACCTTCATAAGATCTTCAATTTAACTATATTTTAGTTTTATTAAAAATTGGTTGTAGTAAGTATTGTTTTCTTTTTAATGTTTTAATTTTTTATGTAGCTACAATAGCAATTGTATATAGTATTTGCCCTGTATATATGTAGGTTACTATATATGTAACACTAAAAACAACAACATATCGTGTAACCCCCATGACTCTACTCCCATGACTCACGGAGGTTAAAAATGACATGCCTCCAAATCCTGTAGTTTCGTAAAATTGGGTCTGTAGAAATATGACGTATGGTTTACTTTTTTTATACTGAACCGATTTATTGCTTTAATTTAAAAAGAATAATTGAATATTATCGTATTTTTTTATACTGAACCGATTTATTTGCTTTAATTTATAATCATTGAATATTATCGCTTGCAATTACACAAGACACAGATCCGGCCGTATATGGAATACTGTGTTCACCTCTGGGTGGGAGCACCACAATACTAGTTACTTCCATTTCAGTGAGTATTCAGAACCGAGCAGCCAGAATAATTGGTAATCAACGTCTTAGTGATAGACTCGACCCATTGGCTTTACGGCGATACTTTGCATCTCTGCGCCTTTTCTACCGCATATATCACAGAGAGTTTTCACCAGTAAGTGCGTTTCCCAGAAACATTCCACAATCTGGAACCTTTCTGTAATGATATTTCCAAACCGATATTTAAAATTTTAACAAAAGTGCTTATTTTTCTGAAAAGGCCGGCAACGCACTTACAATTCCCCTAGTGTTGCGGATGCTCATGGCGGCGGTAATCACTTACCAGGTGACTTAGGTGAACCACAAACTCGTTTGTCACCTGCGCTATAAAAAAAATATGAAATAATACTATATTTTTGCCCATCTACAATATGACAGTCCTAACCCGTATTAATAATTTACATTCAGTGAAATTACTTTATAGTACAACGAAATATTTTGTGTTGTAAATTTATTTTACGTTATAAATCAGCATGCCCGTACAAATGCGTGATATTTAATGACAGTAATATATGTATCATATGTTACATTTAGTCGTTTGAATGTCTATAGAGAGTTTTACATTTATATCAATTTAACGGAACCCATTTGCATTATACGGACTGATCTGAACACGGAAACGTGTCCGTCCTTGCCGTGATGAAGGTCACTTTCTTAGTAAATCGAATTGTAAATATAGCACTTCGGATTACCTCCGTCACATCCGGATATATCACTTCCTGTCAGGGATGAATATGATTAATAATAGGTAGTGTATTATGCATACGGGATATTACACCAACATTTTTTGGTTTACGAACAATTTCGTTTTTGTTTACTCTCTTACATAATATTCTATACATTTTAACATAGTTTATAATACAACACTACTGATCAAATAACTGCATATTAATGATCCCCTGGTCCCTCTGCTAGTAGTGTTTATTTTTACAGCCTAGTATCCCACTGCTGGACCGTGGAGAAAGATCTCCGTCTGACACTTCCAAACCTTTCTATCCTGATCTTGAGTAGGTAAAGTCTTACCAGTTATTATACGAACACATGTTGTCATAAACGGCAAAATAAAACATAATTTTTTTGGATCATAAACTAGATTTAGACACCATATATCGTAGCTACATATCGTATTATTTTATGAATTCTTACAATTATGAATGATGCGACTGAAATAGGTTTGCCATCCGACCGATTTTCCTGGATTTGGCTTTATACGCATAAATGTTCGTAATATTGGATTTATTTTACCAAAATTGTCAGATCCTATTCAAACAGCGATTGATATTCAAAACCCAATATACTAAATATCCCATACAACCAGTTAATAGTGTTAAGTATTGCTAAACGAAACCAATGCATTCATTTACAATCCAATTTATTTCCTCATAGCTCTACGAGTGTATATCAATGATGTTCTTATATTATATATAAGGAATTATATATTTTTTTAAATAAATCATAAATTACTATCTTGATGATTTATTGTAATAATAGTTCTGAAATATAACTATTCAAACACATCAATCTGGGTTGAAATTGCTTTTAACACGACGTCTATAGTTGATAATGTGACCATCAGAGATTATGATTGTGAGGATAAATTATTGTTTATTTATAATATTTAGATTGTTTTTCTTATAGTTAAATACAAATATTAAGATATTTTTCATATCCAAGAAAAAAATCTACAGCGGTTAATTTTTTTGATCGCATCATTGTAATTTTACATTATCATCTGTAAGTTAACTTTGGTCAATAACTTAAAACCACTGTGTAATTTACCTGCAATTATTGACATTTTTCGCGGCACTACACCTTCAATATACCACAATACACCTACACTATAAATGTATATATACGTCCCTATAAAGCCTTAGTGTTGGGGATATGAAAAATCCTGCCCTCTGGCGGACGCGGCGCGCAACACTAGTGACAGATTCAATCGCGGGAACGAACAGCGCTTACGACAGTCATATTAAAGACTTGGTGCAAATTGGCGGATTTTTTGGTGTATTTGGGGTGAGAATAGATGTATATATATAGTATGACAATTTTATATTTTATTTATTTTTCGTGTACACAAAAGTGATTGGACAATAGGCAACGGCAGAGGTATATTTGTAAGTGCCCAGAACCAGCGACTTTAACGCGGGGTGAAGAGTAAGTGACGAAGTTATTACCACCGAATACCATTAATATATAAAATTAACACAACCATATTATTCCAAATATATACGTTGACAAAAGTATTCTGCTCGGGTATCTCAGACTCACTTGTTTAAGCCGCCAAGAGCGTCTTTGTAAGCTGTTTTAGTTGAAGGGCTTACCCTCAAGTGCTATTGCTATTACTTCTTATCAGATAAACAGCTTTGCAAAATCATGCGTTAAAACAATTTTGTCAACTGCCTAGTTGAATAATAGCGTTTGCACATGATATAATTTGGCATCCAAAACAGAGTCGTATATGTATATAGCAATAGATAACATAACGAAATGAAATGAATGTTCATTTACAAAATATTGAGTATTTACATAAACCAGATATTATATTTTAATTAACAAGTATACAGCAGTATTTACCATTTTAAAGTGGTGTGAATTATTAATTATTATTTAATAGTATTGCATTTAAAACATTAAAATTAATTAAACCATTATATAGGTAAATAAATATTCGCACCATACAAAAATCGAGTAAATTTGTTTGTATTTTCTTACTTATGTGTACATTATATGGATTCCATATTGTAGCGTTCGTTTCGAGATAACTTCTTACGAGCGAATTGTATAGTTTTAATAACCAGAGTTATTATTGAAGGCCAGGGAATATTAAAATACGTTCATTGTGTTTAGAATCCTCTCTAAGCTTTGACATAGAATATGAAATAATACTACATACTCGTTTAGATTTAGAGGTTGAGATATGATAGTGAAATTACTGGGTAATTTAGTAATTATCGCCGATGTGAGTTATATATATAAGCTATATGTATAGTTATAAGTATAAGCTTTATTACTGTAAAATTTCATCAAAATCCATTGAAGAGTTTTTGCGTGAAAGAGTAACAAACAATCATCCATACTCACAAACTTTCGCGTTTGTAATATTAAAGTAATAAAATGGGGTAGTTACATACGTCGTCAGCTGTCAGGTATATAGTAAAACAATTGACTGCTTCACATTTTGCCGAATATATGGAATTCAATGTGATAGGGAGCGAGCCTATAGTGCCTTTTCTTAGATTAATTTTGTTTTTTTATCGGTGTCTCATCCCTAGAGAGTAGACAGAAATAAAAATAACACAAAAAGTTTTTATGTCGGCCAGATTTCAGTCCTCGGGAATAGCACTATATTGTTTTGTGATCTCTGTGGTGCTTATTCTGTTAGTTTTATTAGGTATCTATTGTCGCTTTTCATCAGGTGAGCCATTAGCATATATAATGGATTCTTTAGTATTCCATAAAAACATATTTAATTGATTCAATTAATACTAATCTTTGTCAGTATTAAAAATAAGAACAAATTTCAAATCGAATATAGATCCCAAACACTCTCGCTCTTTTGTTATTCTTCAATATACAGTGACATGAAACCAAAGAATAATAAGCATTTGTAAAGTTGACGCGAAAATGCTATCGCCAACTGAATATTGTTCCAGAGAAGCTATTCAATTTCGATTAATGTTAAAAATTCAGTGGTTTATTATTGAAAACTGAAAGTTTGCAAAGATGGCTTGATGGTCGTCGCTCATTTAAATCTAAATGATTTGCGTATTTCAAGGAATTTAGTACACTGTTACTATCACAAGTATAAATATATATGTATAAAACATTTCATCCTAAACAGAAATCAAAATCGCAAGATAGTCACTTTTATATATATATTTTTAAAAGTATTTCACTCTCACTTTACACGATAACAAATATTCTCTAAATACGAGTATAGTACTCGCAAAGAGCAAGCAAAGGGTAAAATTGAACCATAATATTACGACACAAGTTAAAGTCGAATCTTATTGAAGTGTATTTGTTAAAATATAATGTTATTACATTTATGTGTGCATGTGTCCGCGTCAGAATTGAATTAATATGCCAAAATTGACATATAAGTTAGTTATTAATAATTTGTATTATTAAAATATATATATATCAATTTCTGAACGCGTTCTATTTTGACGGGTGCGAACAGTTTGTAGGGGAAAATAAAATTCTTGTTTTTATTAATTTTCATGCAATTTATTTATTATATTAATCTTTAAACCTGCATGGACTACTACAAATACCTATTTCAAAACCGAATCTCTTCTGCCGTTTTAGATTGAAAACTTTACCGAGTTTTAATGAGTTGAATTACTTTGTTCACAGATCTAAAGGCACACTCAAAACTGCCTGTCTCTTATCGTGGCCTGACGGTCTACCAGATGTCTCATATATGGATTTTGTGTAAGTATTTCTAATATATGTTTTAACTTTCTAATCTGTGCAATCTGATTTATAGCGAACAAACAAATCCACAACACAATAAACACAATTTTCGTGTTTGCAGTTAAAATATATAGTCTGTCAACCAAACAGTGAGTAATGGTCGCAAAAGAAAACATCTAATTTTTGTGTTGTTTTTTTAAAGTTACCATTTTAGTAACTGAGTTTATTTTATTTTTTGAATAAATATTAATTGCCATTTTGACTATATAAAATATAATAGTTTATTTATAGGCATTTATATTGCATTTGGCACTTCTCATCTCTGCTTAGTTAGCAAACTAAGTAGAGATACTACGCATATTTTATGATAGAAATATTTAATCAGTTTTTTTTCTATATACTCATAATATATTTACATAGAAAATATCCAGCCCAAAAGAGAACAAACGATTATTCTCACGAATACATATTATGTTTATATGGCGCGAGAATCGGAAGTGACGTGGAGTGTTAAACCACCAGACCAGTAATGCCGTCAATATATTTATCTATACATCTATATATATAAATAAAATCGGAGTGTCTGTTAGTAATATTGAAATAACCCTTTTTTACTATACGCATATGAATATATATGGTATATACACTAAAATAACATTTTTTACAATTTTTGTCTGTCTGTCTGTCTGTTAGTTCTGGCTAATCTCTGAAATGGCTGGGCCGATTTTGATAAGGGGTAACTTAGGCTACTTTTATTTTAGAAAAATAAAGTTAAATTCCACGCGGACGTAGTCGCTGGTACAGCTAGTGTTATATATTTTCTGTGTTTTTATAAGTCATTTGCTTATTTATATTTATAGTTTATGGACCAATAAATAACAGTCTTCCACATTATTAGCTATATAAGAGCTCTCTGGGATTGTCGTCACGGAATTCGAAGTCATTTCTCCACAAAAAGACTTATAATAATAGAAAGGCAAATTAATAAAAAATATGTCTTTTGAATTTAAATGGCGCAAATCAAAACTCGACAAATTAGAGAGATAAAAATAATTGACATTTAAAGTACAAATGTACAATAATTTACTGTTATAAAGAAATTCTTAGTTTATACGTTTAGAAAAAAATGTATTATTGTAAGAGATAGGTACATTAAGGCGTTTAGTAATCTTTTGTAACATTACTTAGTTCGCGGAAAGGTATTTGATTGTTGATACTGTTTTTAAAAAATATATACTATAACTAAGTAATATTATGTTATCTGTGCTATAACTTACTCTTAATAATTTTAAGAGTAAGTTATAACTTACTCTTAAAATTGCTATAGCACAGAATATCGACTATTATTGGATATATATTCCTACACATATAGGTATATATCTATGTAGAAATTGTGTACCTAAAAATATATTAAGCTTTTAAATTTACATGTTACATGGGGTAGTTTTCGACTTTATGATTAATAAACAAAACTTTAACAAACCCGTAATTTTATACTACCCCGGTTGGTATAAAAGGTAGCATGCCGGCTGTATTTTTGGACTTTTATCTATCACAAATTACTGTCGCGTGCTTAACGCACATTGGATTACATCATTTGAATGTCTGTCGTGGAACAAAATTTACTGAAAGTTTCTTACGCGATTTTAATATCTGTATGACATAAACTGAAACCTTCTGATTAATGTATCTGATATGTACCGTATTTACTTACTTATTGCCAAAAAATCTAATAATACTCAAGTCTGTATCTATAATGAAAGGGTGTATGTTTGAGTATTTGTGGAATATATGTTGAGCCGTAAATTTTGGTTTTATTTTTATTTTATAAGGATTATAAACTCAAAATTGATGAGCTAATTTTGAAAAGAATTAAACATTGAAACATATACCCATGTAAGATTTATTCAAAGTGGCCATCTATGATTACCTATTTAAACCTTCAAGCAGCTTAATAAAATACAGCATACAAAATATGTAAAATACACATAGGTACTCTGTATGCTGTATTTTATTAAGCTCTACTCTACTAAGGATACAAGTTTGTCAGTGAAAGTACAGAATACGTAAATATTATACTCAAGTGCTCCGAAATGGATTAATCTAATAAAAGAATTTTTGGTTAGAAGTTACACCTCAAATAGCAACATAAACTTTAAATTTCGTATTCTGGAATCTATTCCGAAGCCGAAAGATTCGTGCTTCAGTATTTTGTAAAAGAATCTCCCAAAGCGTTAAAATTGCGGTGAAAGTTTATAGAAGATGTCGTTGTTTTTAAGTTAGTCGTTATGTATTTACGTACCATGTCTCTAAAGACTACCGGTAGTAAAAAAACTTCCGAGTGTTTTAGTATACTGGTGTATTGTTATAAAGTTTTTTTATTAAATTGGAATAAAAAAAGCCGATTAAAACGCTAACCATCACCTACCTGAATACATAAATCAACATCATAAAATAATAATAATATTAAACACTATTTGGCATAGAGAAGAACTACAACAAGAAACACAGTAAGTAAGAAATTAAAAAGAATAAACGGTGTAATCACTATAAGCAATTTACAGATAACCTGGAGGTTGTCTGTAAGATATTGCTTGAGAGATGAATTAACTACATAAAAAGGTAGGCGGCACACTCAAGACATATATTTAATAAACGAATAAATAAACATACGTCATATAGGCATACATATATAAAGTTACACTTTATACTACATATTGGAAGGTATCAGAAAAAAACATGAGCAATCGAGAGAGATATGAGATCTTAATTGATTTTGAAAATATATAATGCCCGTATATGGTATCATCTCTCCTGTGTATAATTTTTGTAGTTACCTAAGTTAAGTAACCAATATGTCAATATTTAAAAAGTTATCTATAATTCAGAAATTTCATTACATTTCGTAGATTTATTTATGCAGGAGAAGCCACAGTGTAAACAGTCAAATAAATACTGGCTGTTTACAGCATATGTACAACCTTCAAACTCAAAATATACCTTTCACATTAATTACATTACTGGTACGAATAAACGCAGTTCATGCTAATGCAAAACAATTCTAAGAAATATGTATTAATATGAGCTAAGAAGAATTACTGAAGGAATTCAATCAATATTATGGAGGAAACGGCAGCTTCCTGTATCGCATACTCTTTATGAAGAGATAATACGACTATTTTTCCTGAGTTACATATATACGAGTTCTATTGAATGCCTTTGTTTACATAGTGATTCGATTGATATCAATATTGTCAAAATTTTAGTTATTACTTTGGTTGCTTGGCCGAAGATTGTTTAATTATTTAAATAGTTCGCTGAATTAGTTTATGTTAAAAAAATGTTAAGTTAAATTTATGTAACATATTTAACATTAACTAAAAATATTTCATTATACTTCATTAAACATTGACACTTTAATATAAATATAATAATTATGTACTTATAGCGCATATTTTTTCATCAGTTATCGGAATCGATATTACCGATAATCCGATAATTATCAGAAGTTAGAAATATATATTGCCACAAAGTTGTACTATTGATGCTAACTTTCAAATTACGACCTTCAAGATCTAAATTAAAATAAAATTTAGATCCATCTAAATTGTTGAGAACCTTTTTTAATATTGATATTGAATTTGAAGTTCAATTTTAGTATTTTATAATAAAAAATATAAATATGTCACCTCACTATTTCTACTGCTACCATTAAAATATTTATCTCATGATAAATTATTTTCCAACATATTTCTACAACACTATGCAATAACGACATACAATATTTACAGATATACATTAAGGTTAATGTCGCGTTGTTTTCACTTTTTGCGTCCATTTTTAGCCCTAAATTGAATTCCGTACAGCCTATAATTGACTTTCCAGTTTCGATTTGGAGGTTGTATATAAGATTAATGTCGAAAAAGTTTAGCGGATTGATAAAAATAGCATTTCAGTTGTTGTTTTGTTATAACACAGAATTTACTGTCAATTACCGACAGCTTTTTAATTTTTAAGCAAAAAGATAGTGTCTTGAGATCTTATATGTCTATTTGGTCGTTATATTCTATTGTGCTTAGTCGCACATGCTGACTAAGCACAATAGAATTGTATTAGAGTAGGAAAACTATAATACAAACCTTGAAGCTGTAAAAGCCAGCTGCGCCAAACAGCGTTAGAGTAGTAAGAAAAAAAAAGAAACCTGTACTGAGCCGTTTATCTGGCGTGGTAATACTTTTATGGAAAGAGATGACTCTAAAAAGTCGTCTGTGTACCTTAGTCTCACCTATTTCTGTCGCCAAGCAGCTTTCTTTATAACCTGTATTTCGTTGGCAGGGTGGTTGGTGATTAGATAAAGAAATTGTAGTATAAAAATTAAGACATCTTAGTCCTCTGTATTAAAAACATAATCAGTCGTGTCTCGGTTATCAGTTTTTTATCGTTTATCGTTTACCATCAGGTAAACCGTCTACTTGCTTGCCATTCAAATATGAAGGTGAAAAACACTGAGATCATACCCGCAAATTAAAGTGCGAGTTCAATGGATTGTTCTTGATGGTATCATCGTTTATTACATTATTGACAGTGCACATGATATGCAATGATTATAACTGTAATACAACAATAATAATAGTAACATATTAATATATAGTCCAATAACAAAAATGATGTCTTTGTTAATCTCGTGTATGTACATATTCTATGTATTTATAATATCTTCTACAACACGAACTCGTCCTTCATTCAATTTTACAGAAAGCGACATGCTGCAAAATTGCCGAGTTAAAAATAAATCTAAGGGGCGAACACGCATCAATAGATAAGATTGATGAATGTGGAGGAAGTAAAAGAGGTCTCTTTAAATCAGAGCTCGTGGTTCGATTGTTTCTCCGCGTTCTGCAATCTCGAGAGAGATAAGCCTTACCTATGTTCGTTCGAAATCTTATTTATACTGTTAAGTTGAAAATGAGTTTGATTGTATGTTTGTTGTTAAGTTTTTTAAGTAACCGGCATTTGAT